CCTGGGCTGAGTGTTCTTTCTAGCATTTATCTATCAAAACAGCTTTTGTTATTGCCATCATGTCAGCTAGGAAAGTGAGTGAATTGAATGGCCTTGTGCCTGATCCACCTTTCACTCCTTTTCATAAGGACAAGGTAGGTCTCAGACCTGATCCCAGGTTCTTACCTAAGGTGGTGTCTGATTTTCATAGGCAGTGTTGTTGTAGCAGTGTTGGTGCTAGAATATTAGAGACACAAATTGGGTGAGGTAATATGTTTTGTAGACTTACTTTGCTGATGAGAGAGACAAGCTTTCAAGCTTACACAGAACTCTTCTTCAGGTCAAAAGAGCTCTGCATGAGCTTGTCTCTCTCACCAACAGAAGTCAGTCCAATAGAAGGTATTATCTCACCGACATTGTCTCTCTGATTTTCATGTCAATCAGACAAGTAATTTGCCCTTCCCCCCCTCCCCAAACTGCACTCTAATAAGGGGGAATCATCCTACACACTGTATGTGCCAGACGGGCTCTCGCCTACTACTTAAAACTAAAAATTGTCATAAATCGTCTAGATTGTTTGTGCCGTATGCTAAACACCACATGGGTTATATGGTTTCTTCTTCGAGTGGTTGCTCATGTGTATTCCACAATAGGTGTGCGTGCTCGCCACGTGCACCGGTGCTGGAAGTTTTTCCCCTAGCAGTACCCATGGGGGGGGGGGGAGTGCCCCCGCAACTCCTGGAGTGGCGCCTGCCTGGCGCGGTATAAGGGGAGCTGCGCTCTCCCCCCACCCTCAGTTCCTTCTTGCCGCCAGTGAAGGTGCATCGGAGCTTCGCTGTAGCTCGTCCCCAGAACTGTTCGTTGGTTTAGTACCTGTAGTTAGTTAGCTGTTTAGTTAGTTTGGTTAGTCAGTGAGCCCGGGCCGGGGCATGCCCCGAGCCCCGGGATTTAAGTCGTGCGGTTCTTGTTGGCATTCTATGCCAAGGAGCGACCTGCACACAGACTGTTTGCGCTGTCTGGGAGAGACCCACACCAGCGAAAGGTGCAAAATTTACAAATCGTTTAAGCCCTGGACCAAAAGGGAAAGAGACATTAGGCTCCGGGCCATTCTGATGGAGTCGGCACTGACCCTGACCCCGGCACACCACAACGAGCCGGTACCGGGCACCACGGTGTCGGTACGCAGCGATCAGCCAGTGTCTTCGACCAGTCAGCACCGCTCCCCATCCACGGGACACGCCAAGAGGACCAAGACTCCCTCCTCGCAACGGCACCGAGGGAAGTCTCGGAAAGAGGCTAGGCCCATGTCGGGAAGTCCTTGATCCCCATCGGGCCCCAGGCCTCCAACTCACGTAGAGCGGAGTAGCCCGGCCTCTTTGGAACAGGCCTCTCCAGATGTCCGGATGCCTTCCACACCCAAAACCCTCCAGGCGGCCCAGGAGGTCAGGTCCATGCCGGTGCTCGGAGCCCCGTCCATGTCGGCCCCGCACTCCAGAGGCAAGCCGCCGCTGGTATCTCTGCAGTCGCCTCTTCCCATACTCTAGACCCCCGTTCCGCAATGGGACTTAAACCTGGTCTTAGCTTGTCTCACGGGGGCCCCCATTTGAGCCGTTGGCCACGTGCTCCTGGTCTCACCTTTCATGGAAGGTGGCATTTCTGGTTGCTATTACGTCGGCTAGACGAGTCTCGGAGCTCAGGGCCCTGACCTCTGAACCCCCGTACACGGTTTTTCACAAGGACGAGGTCCAGCTCCGCCCACACCCCGTGTTCCTCCCTAAGGTGGTCTCCGCATACCACATGAGTCAGGACATTTTTCTACCGGTCCTCTGCCCCAAGCCTCATGCATCCAGTGAGGAACACCGCCTCCACACGCTCGACGTGCAGCTGGCTCTGGCTTTCTACCTCGAGCGGAATAAGCCGTTCAGAAAGTCCTCGCAATTGTTTGTCGCCTCGGCTGAGCCGGCGAGGAGCCAGCCGATCTCCACCCAGAGGCTTTCCAACTGGATCACTTCATGCATCCAGTCCTGTTATGAGCTGGCAGGCGTTCCCCCGCTGCCCATTGTGAGGGCACACTCAACCCGGGCACAGGCCTCGTCAGCTGCCTTCATGGCCCACGTCCCCATCCAGGACATTTGTAGGGCTGCCACGTGGTCCTCGGTTCACATGTTCACTTTGCACTATGCGATCTTCTCCCAAACCAGGGATGATGCCAGGTTTGGCAGGGCTGTCCTCCATCCTGGGAACTTGTGAACTCCTACCCACCTCCAACAGATATAGCTTGGAATAACCTATTGTGGAATCTGCCCTAGAGACCAAGTCCAAACCATAGTGCCTGGTTACAGTGTGCACCGAAGCGCACGTTGAAGCTCTGCAAATTTCAACAACTGGCACCTGCCTGTGGCAAGCGAAGGGAACGTGATCACACTGAAGCAGGTACAGGAACTTTTGCTAGCGTGTAACAATCAGCAATACACTGTTTAATCAAGGGAGAGGCTGGGAAAAAAGTTACCTTTTCCATAACAGGTGTTCGAGATGTGTTGCTCGTGTCTATTCCACATCCCACCCTCCTTCCCCTCTGTCGGAGTTGTCTGGCAAGAAGGAACTGAGGGTGGAGGGAGCGCGCAGCAGGCAGGCGCCACTCCAGGGGTCGCGGGGGGGCGCCCCCCCCCCCCACAGGTACTGCTAGGGGAAAATCTTCTGGCACCGGTGCATGTGGCGAGCATGCACACCTACTGTGGAATAGACATGAGCAACACATCTCGAAGAACACCAGTTATGGAAAAGGTAACTGTTTTTTCTCAGCCTTTCCCTTGATTAAACGGTGTATTGCTGATTGTTACACGCTAGCAAAAGTTCCTGTACCTGCTTCAGTGTGATCACATTCCCTTCGCTTGTCACAGGCAGGTGCCAGTCGTTGAAATTTGCAGAGCTTCAACCTGCGCTTCAGTGCACACTGTAACCAGGCACTATGGTTTGGACTTGATCTCTAGGGCAGATGCTGGATTTGATAAAGCGGTGCTTCAGTCTCTGTTCGGTTAGGACTCTGCTCCCATCTCCAGGTGAGTTTGAGCACTGCCCCTCAGTCTGTCCCATAGGTGGCAATATGCAGAGCCACTCGAAAAAATGAACTTAACTTACTTGTAACCGGCATCCCTCAAGATGGCTCTGCATGCTTACCCTTCCCACCTGCCTCCCCCTCCCTGTCAGAGTCCTTGTTTGTTCTGTCTCTGGCTTTGCAGTGGAAGGAACACAGGTGATGAGGACTCTCCACCCCCTTTACTGCCTTGCCCTCAGTGTGTCGGGATGGTGTGGGAGAGCCCTGCTGACCCTGCTAGAAGGAGGCAGTGCAGTCCCCATAAGTGTGAATGTGCAGAACCATCTCAAAGAACTCTGGTTTTGTTGTTTTTGTTTTTGTATCTTTCTCATCCCCTCTCACTTATATTAGGTTGATGGGAGGACAGGGGTTTGTAGGTATCTGGAAGCATGTGTTCGGAGAGGGACTCAGGTGTGATTTGGAAAGCTCTGAGGGAACAAAATGAAGGGGTAGGTTATAAGTGAAACTCCAGTTTTGTTCCTAGTGGCTGCTGTTATAACCCAATGTTAGAGAAGTGTCATTGTAACTACTCTGGATTTGTTAGATCTATCAACTTTGGGATCCTAGTTAAGAACATTGGGGTGAAAGGCTGTGCTGAAAAGGAGTTCCCAGCAGGCTAGCTTGTATATTAGGCTTGAACATGATGTGGTGATGCTGGAATGCCTTTGAGCTTACAGTACCTTCCAAACAATGTAACTTCCCCACCTCTGGATGGCAGGTGGGGTGAACTAGATTGAGCAGCAGCATTCGAGGTGCACTCCTATAAGGAGTATGTGGTACAGTTTCCTCAAACAGGGCTCAGACCCTCTGGATGGAAAGGGCTTTGGGTGTAAATAATCTTGACCCAAGTGCCTTCAATTTAGGCTTGGAAAGATTTGATTTTTATCAGTAAATGTCGACGAACATCCATTTCACTGTACATACACAAACTGATGCCAACATATTTCCATCAATGGTAATGGTAATTTACAGCTAGGCAAAGAAAAATGCTGCTTGAGAACTAATGATTGATGTAAGGCTGTTTACTTTATAGATTTTGATGTGATGTTGGCCGTTTTGTGTTTTAACCGTTACAAATCTTTAACTTTTTGAATCTCTGCATCTGTTGTCATTAAATTGTCTGACACACACACCCCCAATAATTTCCTGAAACTTAACATTTAAATTGAGAATTTTAAAAAGCATAAAAATAAACATTATCTATTGAAATTATAACAAAAAATGGAATTCTGCCAAGCCTGCTGAAATTGAAGGGAAGAAGCTTACATGAATGTGTGCAGTTCTGTGGTGCAACGAATGCTAGCTCTGGGCTGTCATCTGAGACCTCAGTTTCTGTGTTTGTGCAATGGGGTACCCATCCTGAGCAGGGGTTCTGGCACCATGACAAGATATAAGTAGTTACAACCACTACTCCTGAGAGACAGCGTAGCTTAGAGCATTAAGGTCTCTCTCTTGTCTGTCTGGTGGACGGTATGTAACTTGATGGTGATGGCTGACGTGTCTGAAATGGCCTTGCAGCCCTGCTCCTGTGGAACTGCTGAGCCCAAAGCTCCACCGCCCGGCCCATAGCCACAAGATCGACCTGGACGCCACCTTTGATGTCGAGACGCCTGAGCATCAGCCTCACAAATCAATCACAACCCCGGCAAAAAAACCCAAGCTGGATAAAAAGCCGTGAGTTCTCCCGTTTCTCCAGTCCTAGGTGGGACCAAGGGGACCAAGCTTCAGTCCCTCTAATGCTCACATTTTTGCTGAGCTTCAGGATCTCTACCCATTTGATTAATTGCACCAGGAGACATTAATCTTTGTTTGGCCTTCCATCTAGCAGCTCCTCTCCCCTGCAAACTCTCTGCTAATGGCTGCAATCCTCTGAAGCAGTGAAGCTACAGCAGATAGATGTCCGACTCACTGATCTGATTTCTTACAGGCCTCCTGTGACAAACCTAGCAAAAAAAGTTTTGAAGGAAACAGTGGAGGTAAAGTAACCAATTGCTGGCCTCTTAGATCCCCCTGCTATTCTCAATCTGATAATAGATTTAAGAAATTGACCAGAATATCCCTCCGCTTGGGCTGTACAACCATCATGCTCTGATCTTAGTACTGCAATACATGCTCCAAGGTGCATCGCCTAGACCAGTGTTTTTCAAAGTACGGGTCCCGACCTAGTATTGGGTCGCAGAATGTCAGGCACTGCTGATTCAAATTATAATGATTAGAGCCGCTGCGCGGCAACAAAGGGCCACACAGCAGGGACCTGGAGAGGAAAGAGGTAGGGGGTGGGTGGGAACTGGGGAGAGGAGCAAGTTGGGTCTTGCAGGGCTGCTGCAGGCCTCTCCCCCAGCCCTGGAGCTCGCTGCTGCCAGCCAGGAGAGAGGGACCCTTCCCATGGAGCTCCATGCAGAGGAAGAGAGAGGCCCTTCCCCTGGTGCTCTGTGCTCCATGCTGCCTGCTGGCAGGGGGAGAGAGAGGCCCTTCCCCCAAAACTCCATACTCCCTGCTGCCTGCTAGCAGGTGGAGAGAGGGGCTCCTTCCCCCGGAGCTAGCTGCTGCCTGCCAGCAGGAAGAGAGGCACTTCTCCTGGAGCTAGCTGCTGCCAATGGGAAGAGGGCTGTGGGGAGTCCTCTGGCCCCAGCCCTGGGGCAGCCTGCCTGCACCCCAAAACTCCTCATCCCTGGCCCCACCTTAGAGCCCTCACCCCCAAACCCCACCCTCTACCTTACCCAGGGCCACCTCCCACACTCCTTACCATAGGCTTACTAAGGCTGGTGTCTAGTGTTAGTTATGTAAAGTGGGTTAAGCTGGAATGTATTACAATATTATGATTTTATGAAAACTCTAGTTAAAAGATATAATTATGTTGAGTCACGGGCATCAACAATTTTCTTCAACTGGGTCACGAGGAAAAAAGTCTGAAAACCACTGGCCTAGACAGTGTTCATACAAATGCTCTAACACAGCTGCCCAAGTCCAAGGGCTATTCTAGGCTTGCAGGCCATCCGTTCTTAATAGTTTCTGGGCATTTCTACAGTGCACTCACCTGGCACACACACTATTGCTATTGCCAATGACACCAGTGGTGTTAAACTCTAAGGATCCTGGGGGCAAACACTTTGAAGAGAGCTGGTCTTACTAGCCACATGAAACACAAACACTTGCTCCCAAGCTTTGTTCTTAATAGCAAGAAACCATAGACATTGATACTGACTAGCTGAGAAGCTGCAGTTCCATGGTCCACGTTAAAAGGGTAAACCATGGGGTATATGAGCAATAATTCCTAAGCTGCTTGGTAAGGTTTTCAGTGCTATCTGTTTCTGTAAATGAAATTCAGGGAGTAAAGCTGCTCATGCTGCCTTTCCTCTCTTTCCTGGGACAGAACTGGGCAGGTGAGCCAGAGGATGACCCTCTAGAAGAATTCTTTCCTGCATTCATCAGGAACTCGGTTCTTTCCAGGAAGCCACCTGTGGGCAGCCTGCTGGGGCCACACAAGAACACGGGAGCTGTGAGTATGTGCCCTGGCCAATCAGAGCAAGGATGCTGCTCCCTGCCCTCCAGTGGTGGAGGCTTGTCAAGGATCAGTCATAGGCATCCTAGCCCCCTGAGTGATCTAAGAGGGAGTGAATGAAAACGAGACTCTTGCTTTCCATATGTGTTTGTGGATATGAGAAATGTGGCTAGAGACTTCCCTTTAGAGCCCTCTGTCTTCCCTCATGCACTGTGAAGCTAGTCAAATGGCCATAGCCCTTCACTGAGATCCTGTCCACCATCATTGCTCTAGCTCTCGGCAGCTTGTGTGTCTCCCCCACGTTTCCCACTAAAGGTCCTATTTCTTTAAGGGAGGTTCTGTCTGTTGTGTAAGCTTCCATCAGAATATGGCCAAGTTCTTCAAAAGTGACTTTGGGCGCCCAACTTGGAGACCCTCAAAGGGTCCTGATCGTGAGAGGGCAGTTGCTCAGCATTTCCTGAAACTCTGGCTTCTTTATTGTCTCAGGTCAGGCACCTTAGTTGCTAGTCTGCTTTGACCAAAGCATTCTGTACACGATAAGGTGCCTGGAACTGTCCCTCCCTTCCAGTACACTGCAAACTTCCAGCTTGGGTGAAGTACCTAGCATCACCCAAGAGGCAGACCTTGCATGGTGTTATATCTTTTCTCTCTTCTCTTCTAGGTGAGAATGGGGTATGATGGCTTAGGAGGTAGAACTAAGTTCATACAGCCCGTATCCTTCCCCACCATCTGCGCTGTGGAAATAAGCGGGCAGGAAGCTCTACTTTGCTTCCCTCTCATTTGGGGCGAGTATGTAGGGTGATTAATGCATGGGCTTCACTTGGGAATGGGCTGGGGACTCTTTAAGGGAGAACGTGGTGGAACTTGTTTAAGTGAGCACTTTGCCCACAGAAAAGACTGATTTTAATTAATCTGTTTTCTATGCACCAAGTTAAACTGCACACCAAACATGGCCCAGGTGGGAGAGCAGAATATCTAACTACATGCCTGATTAAAGACACTGTTCTGGTGTGTAGTCCCACTACACAGCTCTGTCCTCCAGGCACTGGGGGAGGAGGAAGGGAGACAAATCGGTTAATGGGAACTCTTGAGGGAAACTTACAAGATTCTAATCAATCTGGGAACTTGTGGCTCAGATACTGTGCTGCTGTGGGTCTTGTATGTACGTGGGCACAGATCCTGGGGCTGTATTTGACCTGTATGTGAATCATGTCATTCACAAGGAATGGGGGATCTGAGTCATCTGATCACTATGTAATAATTGGCAGCTCTTGGACTGTCACTTGTGTGGCCATGTTCTCTGGGCAGGTCTGAGACCCTTCCACATGATCCTGATTTAAAAGTTAGCCTATCCTATCCTGGAGCTGGTAATAAATCACCCTGCTCCCCATTTTCAGACTTGTTTTCCCTGACAGTTTTCCCTTCAGACAAACCCAATGGAGATCCGTCCCTTAGCTGTAAAGAGCAGGAAGAGGAACGTCTCCAGGCCAGCATCCACAACTGCAGCAGCTTCCTCCTCTGGCACCAGCCAGGCAAAACTGGACAGCTTCCTTCAGTAAATCTGAAGGCTTTCCTGGTCACTTAGGCATGCGTGGGCAGAAGCCTTGGGGCTTACCTACATCTCTGCAGAACCAAGGCGCTGGGACCAACACACAGTGTCAATCAGAACTCTCCCATGGGCTGAAACTGCCCTTTCGTAGTTCGCTGTTGATCCAGTCCAGGCTGACTACACCGTAAGCATGGCGAGGCAGCATGTGCCATGTACTGCCAGCTGTCCTGGGAGATGGGGCTCCTGGCACTGAGCAACCTGCCTGCCTTTGCCTGACATGCAAGGTCACTGGTTTGTGCTCAAGAGCTCAGGACTCCCTGTGGGTGGGGTGTGTGGATCCCTCAACTCCGCTTGATTTGACTCATCTCAGCCTCACTCCTAGGCAATGCAGTAAAGTGTGGGACAAATCAGACTTAGAAATCTCCTGGCTGCTGATTGGTTCAGGCCTGGCCTTACGAGGCTGCATTTCCCCCAGGAGCCTTTGTTGGCAGAGAATAAACAATGAATTTCCTCGCCCTGCTTCCCTGGTCTCTGAGGCTTTGGCACTTCTGGTGGCGATGGGCCCCTTGGGGGACAAAGCACTCTAGCTTGGTTTCAGGAATATCGTATCCCTGAAGATGAGGAAGGGGATCCAGTGTCTGTTAGCCTGTAGCCTCCAGAGCTGATTTCCACGGCAGGGATGGGCAGTCTCCCCATGCTGGATGTTTCATCTCCAACTGTCCTGGCTAGTAGGGCGGCATGGCAATCCTCTCCCTATCCTGGAGTCTTTGGGCCAGAGCATGCCTGGTGCAACCCCACCTGAAAGGAGGAGTCTGCCTCAGGCACGAATCTGGTTTTTAATCTGATAGCCAGGGGAGACACCTCACATTGACACCTTACACCTAGTCATGGCAGCTGGGGCCTTAGCCTAGCAGGAGACTGCTTTGGAAGGGACAAGGCCGGAATCCATGGCAGACAACCATTCTGTGTTGCTGTGTCTGCCATCCCAGCGGGTAACCAGCCTGCCGATTATCCATAGAGCAAAACTGTGTGTGATTTGTTGCTGTACAGTGGGCATGCGATCGGCACTGTACTGTTTTATCTGACCCCCAAGCAGCTGCTTGGCATGCACAGGTTTGATGAGGAGGCGGGTCTGTAATGAGGCAGTGGGGAATGGGGTGATCTTAGCGTTTCTAGCTCAGCAGCACCAGGAGCAGGTGGCCTTTCCCAGCTCGCCACTTCTGTAGGGCTTTATTTTCCAGAATCGAGAACTTCACGTCTCTGTACCAGGCTCTTAAAGGGGCAGGCGTCTATGATTTTCTGGATGCTCTGCAAACTTTGGTTTGGAACTTATATTTTTATATATTTAATCAATTTTTTTAAAATGATATGATGAGTTTACAAATGCTCCTCTGAGATGGATCCCTCCCTACTGCTGCTTGAGTGTTAAATACAAATTACCAGCCCAGTTACACTTACTGGGAAAGAAATATGATGGGGCTGCTGATTGCTAGAGGAGGGCTTTATTCTGCTGTCATTGGCCTTAAGCTCAGTCTGGTGTCTCACATTTCCCAAGTGGTTCTGTTCCAGATCTTGCCCTGATACAATGGAGCCCTCTTCAAATTGTGCTATTTATAATGAATTGGCTAGTGAGCATGGCTTGTTAGAGAGCTGGCCGGACAGATCCAGCATTGGTACAGGCTTATCTGGAAACCAAAATGAATGGATTAAAGGCAGAGCACTAACTCCACTGATTTCAGCATCAGCAGCTGTTTGTGTCAGTGCCCAGCCCGTGCTGTGTGGGTGCCCCGATTCCTGTATGTCCCTGAGAACGTGTGCCTTTATTAAATAAATGTGGTGTACAATATGGAGCCAGCTGATTTGTAACCTGAGGTGGCTGCTGCTGTCTCTTCTCAGCGAAGGTCTCGCTTCTTCCATTGCACTCAGGGAGCCAGGCTGTCACTGGGGAACAGAATTTGGAAGTAGCTGAGCCACTCTTGCACATTCCTCTGAGCTAGCTGGTGCAGGCCACTGATGGAGGCAGGGACCTGGGTTATATGGGCCTCTGCTCTGAGCCAGTCTGGTAAGTCCTGTGGGGCCTATTAAAGTATTGCAGCTGCTGTGCCCTGGTATCTTACTCCCTGGTATCTATGGTAGCAGAGAAAGGGGAGCACCACCGTCCATGGAACACCAGCCACTGTTCCCAATGAACGCTGAGGTGGGCATTAGCTCCACTAGAGGCAGACATGGAGAAGGTGAAGTGACTTGCTCAGGAGAAGGACACTGGGCAGGGCATGAAGCTGGCAGCTGAGAAGCTGCAGTGGTGGAGCCATGGTAGATAAATGGCCAGAGGCCAGGCTCAGAGTTGTCAGTCGTTCCATCTCCAGAATGTGGGCTGGCACCCTTGGGTGGAGCTGGAGCTCTGCATGGGGCTTTCCAGCATCTATCCCTACATGTGGCGTGGAGGTGATCAGTCCCTTGGCTGTCACAGGAGCATTGGGCTGGAATCCTGGATGGCTCCCTAATTTTCCCTCCCTCCAGCAGCTCTGATCGATGGGCTGGGCCCTCAGTGAGGGGAGCACTGGGGCAGTGACGGGGAGATGACCAGTGGGGGAGTTTGGCTGGAGGGAAGGTGGGAAAGTATTATAGAGTCATAGACTTTAAGGTCAGAAGGGACCCTTATGATAGTCTAGTCTGACTTGCACAACGCAGGCCACAGAATCTCACCCACCCTCTCCCGCAATAAATCCCTAACCTATGTTTGAGCTATTGAAGTCCTCAAATCATGGTTTAAAGACTTCAAGATGCAGAGAATCCTCCAGTAAGTGACCTGTGCCCCACGCTGCAGAGGAAGGCGAAAAACCCCCAGGGCCTCTGCCAATCTGCCCTGGTGATCAGCTAAACCCTGAGCATGTGGGCAAGACTCACCAGCCAGACACCCAGGAAAGGATTCTCTGTAATAACTCAGATCCCACCGCATCTACCATCCCATCACAGGCCATTGGACATATTTTCCGCTAATAGTCAAAGATCAATTAATTGCCAAAATTAGGCTATCCCATCATACCATCCCCTCCATGAACTTATCAAGCTTAGTCTTGAAGCCAGATATGTCTTTTGCCCCCACTGCTCCTCTTGGAAGGCTGTTCCAGAACTTCACTCTGATGGTTAGAAACCTTCGTCTAATTTCAAGACTAAACTTCCTGATGGCCAGTTTATATCAATTTGTTCTTGTGTCCACATTGGTACTGATCTTAAATAATTCCTCTCCCTCCTTGGTATTTATCCCTCTGATATATTTATAGAGAGCAATCATATCTCCCCTCAGCCTTCTTTTGGTTAGGCTAAACAAGCCAAGCTCTTTGAGTTTCCTTTCATAAGACAGGTTTTCCATTCCTCGGCTCATCATAGTATCCCTTCTCTGTACTTGTTCCAGTTTGAATTCATCCTTCTTAAACATGGGAGACCAGAACTGCACACAATATTCCAGATGAGGTCTCACCAGTGCCTTGTATAATGGTACTAACACCTCCTTATCTCTACTGGAAATACCTCGCCTGATGCATCCCAAGCCTGCATTAGGGGTCGCATAGAAGTGTGAGGAGGCCTGGGGGCACATGGAGGTTAAATGCTGCCGGGTATCAAGGTGGGGAGCAAACCAGCTCTCTTTGGAGAAGGATGGTGGCTTGTCAGGTGCTCAGTAGCTGCTCTCTCGAGTCTGGCTATGGAGGAGGATGAGCAGCTACTGGGAGCACAGGGATGGAGCCAGGGAGCAGGTCTGGGACAGGAGTTTATCTACAAGGCAGGGGGATTGGGTGGCCCGACACTAAAGCTTTCTAGCACAGTGCAGCCGGCACTGAGGCACTCACCCCACAGTAGCAGGCACCCGACAACCAGGCATTCCAGGAATTGAAACTGACTCTGCACCAGCTTGGAAACGGTCCTGAGGGGAGTCAGGATGCCTGGCTCCATCCCCTTTTCCTCAGCTTGCAGGCAGCTCCTGGTGCTGGGAAGGAGGCCCTCGGAGGCTTGATAGACCTGGCCCTTAGTGCTGAATTACAGGTAGATTAAAGCCAGGTGAGGGCAGGTTAGCTTGACCCTGTGTTGGTGCTACTGTGGGCATGTCTACACAACATTAAGTCAGGTAGGTCGACCTACTGCCACCACAGTAATGAAATCAGCTGTTCATGTCCACACTACCCTTGTTCTGTCAGTGGTAAATGTCCTCATCAAGAGCACTTGCACCAACTGAGGTGGAGCACTAACAGCAGGAGCCTTGCCACCCGAGAGCTGACAGCTGGAGCCCCACCACCACCTCATAGCCCGGTGGGGCTTTTGCTGTCAGCCCTGGGGTGGCAGGGCTCGGGCTCTCTGCCGCTAGGGGCTGACAGCCAGAACGGTCAACACAGCATCTACACTGACACTAAGTCAACCTAATTACGCCGACCTAATCGCTATGCCTCTCACAGAAGTGGAGTTTTAGGTTGATGTAGCACAGCAGGAGGCACACTGTAGCATAGACGCTGACAGAGCTAGGTCAAGGTAAGCTGCCTTACATTGACCTAACTAGCCTAGACCAGGCCTTTGCATGGGAAGGGGAGGTCAGGTTCTTCTGCGCCAACCTTTTCAGCACAGTGCTGCTCTGGCTGCCAGTTCCTGGCCTAATGTCTGGGACAGGCAGGTGGGTATTGCCTCCTGGATGACCAAGGAGGGCCACTTTGGTTAGGTGTGCTAGAGGACAGATGATCTAGTGGTTTCATTAATAGCTTTTAAAGCCAAAAGGGACCATTGTGACCTACTCTGACTGGCAGAGCACAGGCCCAAGAACCGCACCCAGAGACTTCTCCATCAAACCCATGACAGCTGTTTATGCTAGAGCAGTTCTCTTGGCAAGACATGCAGTCCTGACTTGGACTGGAGAATCAACCAGGCTTCTGGCTAAACTGGTTAGGATGCTAGCCTGCTATTGGGTAGATCTGGAGTAATTCCCAGCTCAACCCCAGACTTTCTGTGTGGCCTTGTGCAAGTGACTTTAGTCTTTTTGTGTCTCAGCTTCCTATCTGCACAAGGAGACTACTTCAGCCCCGTGGGGTGCACCAGGGCTCAGAGCTTCTGCTCTGTGGGGGGCATCGGGGCTCGGGGCTTCTGCTCTGTGGGGTGCGTCGGGGCTTCTGCTCTGTGGGGTGTGCTGAGGCTCACAGCTTCAGCGCTGCGGGTTTGAAAATACTTACCAGAGCTCGGCTCTGGCTGAATTTAAGCCATGGCTGTGTAAATATCTAGAAACAAAGAACGTAAGTCATATTTACAGGTGGGGGACTCTATCCTGGGAAGCAGTGACTCTGAAAAGGATGGGGGGGGAAGATGGATAATCAGCTGAATGTGAACTCCCTGTGTGATGCTCTGGCCAAAAGAGAGAATATGATCCTGGGATGTGTACACAGATGAATCTCAAGTAGGAGAGGTTATTTTACTGCTGTATTTTGGCACTGGTGCAACCGCTGCTGGAATCTTGTGTCCAGTTTTGGTGTGTACAATTCAAGAAGGATGTTGATAAATTGGAGAAGGGTCAGCAAAGAGCCATGAGAAGCATTAAAGGACTGGAAAAACTGCCTCTTAGCAATAGACTCAAGGAGCTCAATCTATTTAGCTTAACAAAGAGAAGGTCAGCGTGATTTTATTAGTCTATGAGCCCCTACACAGGGAACATATACTTAATAAGGGGCTCTTCAGTCTAGCAGAGAAAAGTCTAACACGATCCTATGGCTGGAAGTTGAACCTAGACAAATTCAGACTGCAAATAAGGTGTAGATTTTTAACAGTGAGGGGAATTAACCATCAGAACAATTTACCGAGGGCTGTGGTGGATTCTCCATCAGTGACAACTTTTACATGAAGATTTAAGAAAACATTCAAAGCTCTGCTCTGGGGATTACTGTGTGGCAGGTCTCGGGCTTGTGTCATCCAGGGGGTCAGACAAGATGATCACAATGGTCCCTTCTGGCCTTGGAATCTGAGGCAGGGGCCACAACCTCTGCTAAGGATGAAAACTCTCATTCGCTGTGTTAGGAGTATTAGTGATGACAGTGTAGTATTCAGGCCTGTATATTTGCCTGTGATAGAATTTTGGGTCTTGTTTGCCCATTTGACTTTTTGATATTTTTATATTCTTACTAATATGTGTGAACAAAGACACTGTGTGTTACATCTGCCACAAGCAGATGGTGGGCGGGGGGGAGATAAGAGAGCAAAAGTGTTGCTGGGCTAGGTGGGAGTTTAATATACAAGCATACACTTGAAGGACAATCCTGCTTCAAACTCCTCTCCTGAGATAAGGTCAAGCAACCAGTCGTGAGGGGCGAGGGAGGGGAGCGGGGGGAAGGTATAAGAAATACTAAAAGTCAAAGAAATGCCTGTCCCTGGCCAAAGCACAACCTCACTCCTTACCCCCCCATAGGATACAAAAGAGGTGGTACCAAAGCCCCCTGACCCAAGACCCTCCAAAATGGAACATGACCATACATTTTAAGGGGTGGGACCAAGGGTGTGCACTACAGGTTTAATCATGCCTGCTAAGGAAGGGGAAATGAACACTGGGAAAAGGCTCTGCCAGCGTCAGAGCTATGGATATGCTTGCTTGAATTAACCCCAATAAACATCGCATTGCCTGCACTTCAGACTTCTGGTCTTCTGCTTTCTGTCTGCATAACAAGAACCAGGAGAGGGGTGAAGGGAAAACCTTTAACACCCTGTGCACTAAGGGCCTGCTCTTACACCCAGGGAGGTCAGTGGGAGCTGGCTTTAGAGGGCTTTGGAGCAGGCTTAGAACAACCTGATTCTTTGTGCTTAAAGCTCCTTGGAGCAAAGCCCATCTCTTTTGTTCTATGTTTGGACAGTGCCTAGCACAGTGGAGTCCTG